GCGCCATGAGATCCCTTCACAGAGGGACCGTCATGAGATCCCTTCACACAGGGACCGCGCCATGAGATCCCTTCACAGAGGGACCGTCATGAGATCCCTTCACACAGGGACCGCCATGAGATCCAACTCGCACAGGGATCACCTGGGGTGGGAGAAAGCAAAGGAAGATCCCTCTCCACCCCCCACCACCCCCAGAGAGGGATCTACTGGGGGGATCTGTCCTTGCAAAGGGATCGCAAGGTTACCTGCCTCCCCGTAGCCTTCCTCCTCCTCCTCCTCGCCGCCCCGCCCCATGGGGAGCTGCGGCTCCCCATTCGGACCCGACATCCCGGCTTGGGAAGCGCACCGGCTAAGCCACGCCCACCACTTCCCGGATGGAAGGCGGAGACAATGTTGCAAAGGGACAGGCCACGCCCCTTCCTCATAAGCCCCGCCCAAGTTCCCCCCCCCAAACCATCCCCAGATAATAATAATCGTGATCATTAAATTAAAGATTAAATATTAATTTAGCATTCACGGCAACTGATGATTTGATTGGGGGGAAAGGGGGGTTAATTTAGGGAGGAGGCCTCCAGCAAACAAAAGATTTATTCAACCCCCCTTTTTTAATTAAGGATCATCAATGATCCTTTTTTTTTTAAAAGGGGCGGTGAAATCAGCCTAGAAATTGACCTCCTCCGAAGGTCAGGGCCTACGCCTTTAAGAAACCCCGCCCCTTCCTTTGCTTTAAAGTTTATGATTCCTGGGCAGGCCGCCGGTCCGAAAGGACGCGGGCGGGCGAAGCACTTTATATGTCATCTACAGATGGAATAATAAAAGCGAAATAAATAAATAGGAAAAAAATCATTTTATTTTCCAAGAAAGGGGATAATCAAGTGGGATGGAGGGAGGAGCCGCTTCTCCCTCCGAGGCCTCCTCCTTGCAAACCCGCAAGCTTCCACCCCAAGGCAAGCCTCGAGCCCAAGCCGGCCGCGTTCACACGACACCCGTGCAAAACGGGGAAAGCGTCGCTTTAGCGAAAGGAGTGGGGGGCTATTGCAAAGCACGCTTTGCATTAACCAAAATAAGAAGAATTAAGGCGCAAGGGATCGGCCCTCCGGCGCCAAGAGAGAGCGGCTGAACGTGAGAATGCAAATGCGTGTCAGCTTGCAATCCCCGGGCCTGATGCATCTTGCGCGGAAAGGGATTTCTAAACCATTGCAAAGCTTCCCCCTCCCGCCCCTGGGTTTCCCCTGGCGCCCGCCCGCCTCCCTCCTTGCAAAAGGCGAAGATGGCGTTGGCGCGGCTTGCATGCAACGGCTGGGCCGGGCTGGGGAGGAGCGCGTGGCGGCGGCTGCCCCGGGCCGGCTTCTCCTCCTCCTTCTCCGGGAGGCCCGGCCGAGGCTGGAGCCGGCCTTCCTCCAGGCTCTGGCTGGGGGCCGCCTTCGCCCTGGGAGCCGCGGTGGGCACCGGCCGGACTCTGCACCGACGCTTCGGAGCCCAGGAACAGCTGGCCGAGCAGCACCGGGACGGGGTAAAAGCGTGAAAGAGGACCGGAGGAGGGGGCGCCAGATATGCAAGCATTTTGGAATCGTTGCAATTCTTGCATTTACCTACTGCAATACCTATTGGGGGGGGGATTGCAACTCCCATGGGGCGCAGCTGGTTGGGGACCCTCCTGGGTACTTGTGGGGAGGGAAGGGTGGGGTGGGGCTTTACCTTGCAACCTGGTGTTTCTTCCTACCCCCGGATCCTCAGGACCCTCCTCCTCCCCCAAAAAGCAGCCCCCCCCCCGCCCTCAAAGGTGCCTTTTAATTTTAATTTAATTCTTTTTCCTGAGCTCAAGCCGTGGCCCCTTTAAAGCTGCCTAGACTTCAACTACCAGAATTCCCATGCATTCTGGCAGGAAGGCAGGTGGAATTCTGGGAGTTGAAGTCCACAGGGCTTAACAACTGGCAGGGCCCAAGAATGCCAGCTGATTGGGAGCCCTGCAGCATTTTGCAAAAGCAGAGAATTCATACATTTTTTAGGTTGGAATAGGGAAGGAGTATAGGGAGGCGGTGGCTCAGTGGGTTAAGATGCTGAGCTTGTCGATCAGAAAGGTCGGTGGTTTGAATCCCTAGCACGGCGTAACAGAGTGAGCTCCCGTCACCTGTCCCAGCTTCTGCTCACCTAGCAGTTCAAAAGCACATAAAAATGCAAGTATAAAAATAGGAACCACCTTTGGTGGGAAGGGAACAGCGTTCCGTGCGCCTTCGGCATTGAGTCATGCCGGCCATATGACAATGGAGACGTCTTCGGACAGTGCTGTCTCTTCGGCTTTGAAGCGGAGATGAGCACCGCTCCCTAGAGTCGGGAACGACTAGCACATATGTGCCAGGGGAACCATTACCTTAGGGAAGGAGAACCTGGGTGGTTTTGTGTGTGAGTTTTCCTTGGGTTATATGTTTTCATTCGGGGGAAGGAATTGCCAGAAAATAGCCTAAAGCTGGATATGTCTTGAATTCCCTTGTAGATCCTGCCGGACAGCCATCTCCATCTGACGCTCTATCAGTATAAAACCTGTCCGTTCTGCAGCAAAGTCCGAGCTTTCCTGGATTATCACCGGCTGCCGTATGACATTGTGGAGGTGAACCCGGTCATGAGAAAAGAAATCAAATTTTCCTCCTACAGAAAAGTCCCCATTCTCCTCATCGATACGGAGAGCACTCTGGTGAGTTGGCGAGTTAGCCAATCCCTCTTTAAGGGGCTGCTTGATATATTGTACTAACTGGGTACCCGTGCTTTGCGACGAAACTATGTGATCGGGCTATGCAGGAGAAATCCAGTTCACAATCCATTGGCTCAGTTGTGGTCAGAGAGTGAAGCACATAAGGGAATATCGCTCCCGCCGCCTTGAGTCCGGAAGCAGTCCCATACTTGGAAGGCATAGAGATTATGGTGAGGTACCGACGTTTAGTACTGTAGGGAGTCTCGGGTCACTCCTGAGTGAAGGAGTGGAATGTCTGCCAGTTTGAACTGAGGTAACGGAATGTAAGGCAACTGGCAGTTAGGACAGATTCTTTTCCGGTGGGGAGGGGGAGTAGAACTCCTTAGCATCAGAGTGTGTTAATTACTGGATAAGAAATACTAATGATCTGATGGTCGTTTCGAAAAATCCTTTCTTAGCGAGCACCTAGAAGCCAGTTGGAAGGGACCTTGGAGGTCTTCTAGTCCACCTCCCCCCCCCCCCCGTTCAAGGCTGGAGACTATACTGTCCTGACCAAATGATGTTCCCTTGTCCTTTTACAAGCCTCCAGTGATGGAGTACTGACAACATCTGGAGAAAAGACATTCTATAAGTAGTCCTTGACGTACGACCCCCCCCTACCGAGCCAAAAATTTCTGTTGCTAAGTGAAACATTTCTTAAGCGAGTTTTGCGACCTTTCTTGACACGGTTTTTAAGTGACTCTCACTGCAGTTGATAAGTGAGTAACACGGTCGTTAAGTGAATCTGGCTTCCCCTTCGACTTTGCTTGTCAGAAGTTTGCAAAAGGGGATCGCGTGACCCTGGGATATTGTGACCGTCATAAGTACGAGTCAATTGCCAAAGTGTCCTGAATTTTGATCACCTGACCTGCAGGTGTGAAAAAACAGCCATAAGTCACTTTTTTCAATCCTGTCGTAACTGCGAATGGCCACTAAATGATCTGTTGCAAGTCGAGGACTCTATTGATTCATTGTTCTCCCTGTTAGGAGATTGCCTGGATTGATCACATGTTGGCAGCTCTTTTTCTAGTCCCCCCCCCCCTCTTTTCTGGCTCCATTTAAATAAAACCATGATGGTAACAAAGCATTAAAAGCTGAGCTAAGCTATTTTATGATTGGCCAGAGAAAGCTAGCTAGAAAAGAAAGGAGAGAGAGGCTACAGTACCCAGATGACACATTATTAAATGGAAAAGTGGGGGAAGAATGGGAAAACAGAAAATTAAATGTTAAAAATAGAAGTATATATTCAAGAGCGAGATATAAAAGGGGAAAAAACATAGCTAGGATAGATGAGCGAAGGAAAGTGAATAAGATATGATATTAAACTAATATCTGGGTTTGCGGAAATACCATTCCAAGAAAACATAAATTGAGATTTGAAAGAGATACCTATAACAACAGAAAAAGAAAGGAAGAGAGGAGGAGAGAAAGGGGAGGGAAGAAAGCGGTAAGGAGAGGAGGATGGAAGAGAGAGAAAGAGAAGGAGAGAGGGGAGGAAGAGGAAGAGGAGGAGAAAGGGAAGGGAAGAAGGAAGGGGAAAGAGAGGAGGGAAAGAAGAAAGAGGTACGGAGAGGAGGATGGAAGGGAGAGAAAGAGAAGGAGAGAGGGTAGGAAGGGGAAGAGGAAGAGGAGAAAGGGAAGGGAAGAAGGGGAAGGAGAGGAGGGAAAGAGGTAAGGAGAGGAGGATGGAAGGGAGAGAAAGGAGGAGAGAGGGTAGGAAGGGGAAGAGGAGGAGAAAGGGAAGGGAAGAAGGGGAAGGAGAGGAGGGAAAGAGGTAAGGAGAGGAGGATGGAAGGGAGAGAAAGAGGAGGAGAGAGGGTAGGAAGGGGAAGAGGAAGAGTAGGAGAAAGGGAAGGGAAGAAGGGGAAGGAGAGGAGGGAAAGAGGTAAGGAGAGGAGGATGGAAGAGAGAGGAAGAGAAGGAGAGAGGGTAGGAAGAGGAAGAGTAGGAGAAAGGGAAGGGAAGAAGGAAGGGGAAGGAGAGGAGGAAGAAAGTAGAAAAGGGAGGGAGGGAGAAAAGAAAGGGAAAATAAGGTGGTACTAAAAAAGGAAGAAGAGATGGCAAACAAAGCAACCCAAACTGTATATTATAACCTATTAAATGAAATAATAAATGTATAAGAACGATAAATGTAAAGAAGGAGAACAATCGTGAATGGAGACTTAAAATGGTATGTAAGAGAATAAAAAATAAATAGAAATAAAATAAAAAATAAATAAAAAGTTCTTTGGGGGGAAAAAATGAACTAAGCATGAGGAACAGGTGTTGCATTCTAGTTTATGGATGTTAGCCATTAATTCTCTTTTTCCCCCAGCAATTGAATGATTCTTCCGTGATCATCAGCACCATTAAAAGCTACCTTATATCCAGGTAAAAAGATCATTTTTCTTCCTTTTTTTTTCCTTTAAAAAAAAGAGAATTCTTCCATTCTTCGCCTCTTGTTCTCCTTCCCCCAAAGGAGTTTAGGTTTATATTTTAACATTGAGAGGTTTTAAGGCAGCGATGGCGAACCTTTTCAGCACCGAGTGCCCAAACTGCGATGCACATACATGTGCCTGCATGTATAACTCATGCACATGCTGAAGCACCAGACACCCGAAGACTAGCTGGGCA